AAACACAAAAATGGTGAAATTTTGAATTTAGAAACATCCGCAGATGTGTTCATACGGCGGTTATCATGAAACCTTAATTGTGACACAGTAGTGTCATTCCATGAAAAGCGGCGTATGGTCCCCAATAAAAGAATAAAAGAAGTTTAAGTCTGACAGTCCTTATACTTCTTTCTCTAAATTGTTTCAATTTTGTTTCCCTTTATCCTTGGTCATAATGCGAAAGTTCATTAAATCTTTTAAACACTTGTTTATATTTTCTATTCAGTTAAAATAAAGATACTGTTGTTTTTGTTGTTTTGTTTTTAGCTCACCAGAACCGAAGGTTCAGGGTGAGCTATTAGTATCAAAGGGGGATACTCCGGCGTCCGTTGTCCGTCGTCATGCGTCAACAATCTTCTTCTTCTTTTAAACTTCTGGGCAGATTTACCTCAAATTTGGTCTGTAACATCATTGTTACAGTCACACTTAAAGTTGCTCATGTCATTTCAATGGGCCCGTTTAGAGGTCAACAGAGCTAAAAATAGAAAAAACCTTTAAACATCTTCTGCTACAGATGGATGATCACCAAACTTTGTCTGTAAAATTCTTGTGTAGTCTTTTATCAAGTTTGCTCATATTAATTTGATTGGCCCTTTAAAGGGGCCGCTAAAGCTAAATATAGAAATACTTTTAAAAGTCTCCTTCTACAGAACCAATTGATGGATGATCTCCAAATTTTGTCTGTAGCACACTTAGGTAGTCTTTTTTCAAGTTTGCTCATATTAATTTGATTTGCCTCTTTAAGGTGCCGCTTAAGCTAAAAATAGAAAAACCTTTGAACATCAATTCCTACAGAAATAATTGATAGATGATCACCAAACTGTGCCTGTAGCATTCTGAGGTAGCCTTTTATCAAGTTTGCTCATATTAATTTGATTGGGCCCGTTTAAGTTAAACCTTAAATGCCCAAGGTCATGGCATTTCTTCAAATTATAGTTTTAAAGATGTTCTATGCCCCAATTTAATATTAGAAAATATTGACAATGGATAATTTCTAACACTCACAAGCAGTTGTTCCTTGTGAGCGAATCAGGACCATCATGGGCCTCTTGCTTTTTTTACGAAATTGAAATAAACTCAAGCTGGGTGTCACAATTACCAGTTAAATAATTCGATAATCATATTCTTAGTCAATGCAAAGTTTATTTATCTGTAATAGAGTTTTCATTATTTTCATTTTATGTTACCTTAAAATATACGGCCTAAAAATTGGCAAACACATTCTAGATCATGATTTTGTTAAAATACATAAAATAGATTGTTGTATAAGAGAGTATAGAATGATATACTGTCTGAAATTTGTGAAAATATAGAAGCTGTACATAAACAGTCAATTTGTATCATATAATAATTCAGTCTTGCTGGAAACCAAACCAAACCAATTAAAATAGAATTTCATTTAGTTAAATTTAATACAGAAATACTGTGCAGCAATAATCAATATTTTCAAATATCAAAGTTGAGCATGGAATATCTATACAATGCAGTATTTGATACCTAATCTTAGATATTTTTCTGTTTGAAGTTCTCTATTCAATGGGTTGCATATCAATAAATAAATAAATTGAATTTTACTATATTTATTACTATCCCAATGGTATAAAAATTGTTTATCGAATTTTTTACACTAACGCCCATAACAGTAGTATTGCTCAGATGTGTTTTTCTATTCTATCATTTTTCTTACGTATATAAACTATAATTATTGTGTGTCAATGCATAACGCGATAGTCTTGATCATAATGATGTTGTACAAAGGCTTTTTCTATTTCATCTATGTTATAAAAGGCTATGTTAATTGTAATATTTCCAAATATCTACATATAACAACAGCGCGTAGGCAGTATTATTATACGTTTGATATATTTATCATTTTCACAACGACGGTTAAGTAACAGATGCTTCAATATCTATGCATATTTTAACAGTTTTGCTGTCATGTGGTGGTTATTTGTTATATAATGTCAAACATATAAAACCATCTGAAATTTTATAAAATAGAAAATGTTTGAAGAGTACTTTTGTATTACGTTTCATATTACGTACACGTTATCAAAGCTGTTCATTTGAATAAATGATAAATAAATAAAAATAGTAAAATGATATACATAGCATTGTATGTCACTCGGTAAAAGTCCATTTCATCAGTTATCATTTATATTATTTTATTTTCATTTTCACTTTATTTACTTGTATATTTTACATACAAACACTTAAACTTAACAAATACTCTAATTAATGTGTGTATAGAATAAAAATCTGGAGTGAGATCTGAGAAGTATATTTTTTACATTCAGTAGAGAAACATAGGGTCATGTTCATCTTTGTTCTTATTTTTTAGTATCATTTTTTTTCTTCTTAATAAACCCTGCTAGTTACCTGTGGCTGGCAAAGTTGAAAAATGTGCCGCGCCTTCAAACGATATTTGCCAAGTCTATATCTACAAGTTTACTATTTTTGTTGATTTTCTTTTCTACTATCCTTGTTATATTTGAATGTTTTAGTTTCTTAGAATATCGCATCAATTCTGTGTCTGGTTAGAAATATCAAAGGGTGCATATGGCGAAGATAACACGTTTGGAATTAAAACAAAAGAACAACAAAAAACAACAACAAAAACATACAAACAAACAACAAACAAAAACAAACAATCAATTGAAAAAAGAAAACTATTAATTTTAGGGTAATACAAGGAACTGTTGACAAAGTATTTTAATATATCAAGAACATAAAAGCCCAAACAAATTAAGTAAATTCATACAAAAATTCAAAAGTACAAAATGTCAGCTTGTTAACATGAGTTGATTTTTTTTATAAATGTACATTTAATCATTTAAATGTACATCAGTCAGTGGCCATTTTGAAAATTAAAAATTGTCAACACACATATTTGCAACCATAATTGTACAAAAAACATACTTTGATATTCCTTCGGATATCAAATATAGACATTCGTTTAAAATTACCAAAAGATAACACGTTCTTTTGTGTTGTTTACATCTAAAACCATGTAGTAGAGCTACTTTCAGTCAGGTTATTATAAATATTAGCCAAGGAGTTCCGATTGAACATTATACTTTATTTTTCAATTTCATTGATTAATTTTCATAGAAAATATATTGCGTTCCCTCTAATGGTTAGATTCATAACATTGCGATACCTCATTGATGTTTATCTGTTTCCATAATATCCAAATGTATAAGAACGATTCAAACAAATGGTACAACAAATGTCTATTGTATCCTTTCAACCTGTCCTCAAATTAACGCAAATCAATCCTATAACATGATAATTTGCTCTTTTCATTGACGCATTGGCATTGTTGAGTACATCACCAGGGTAATTACTCATGTTAAATATATTGATGTTGCAGAATAAATGCTGAAATCCGATCAATTTGTACATTAACTATTTGTATTAATTGATTGGCACTAGTTATCTAGTTATATTATTATATTTTATTGCGCATAAAAGTATGTGGCAACTATTTTATGGCAAATATTTATAATACAACCAAACTGTAAAAACGCATAGATAGTCCCTTATCAAATACAAAGGAATTTGTTTTTATTTTCATTATCAATGTATATATACCTCTACTATCTATGAATGAAACGTGAAAATAGAATATGTTTTAGTGTCATGTTTAACTATTATAAATGAATACAGGCAGAATACAAATACATAATAATCCTCAAGTAAATACAAAGAATCAATAGCTTAACGTTTGTACATTTACAAGTAAGAATATTTAACAATTAGAACATTGTATCATTGTTTGTCAAATAGAACTAGAACTATATCAAGTTTTGGACTGGGCTTTCTTTAGGGATTCTATTTTCCTCTCTTTTGTTGCAGTTTGAAAAGATATACTAGACAAACAAAAGATTAACATGCTTTCAATTATTTCAGTCTGTATATGATCGACTGGATGGGAATGTATTCTTTTGCTCACTTTCGATTAGAAATTCTTTTGCATGTAAACCCCAAAGCGTTGTTGTTTACATTAATTAAAGAGGAAGAATTGACGAATAACAACAGGAAACTGTTTTTACCTTGATCAAATTATTTTGAAATGCAGTAAAAAATTACAAACTAATGACGAATTATAGAAAGATTAAATGCATTTCTTAGTTAAATTTCGGACATAATTATTTGAGTGATTTTATAAATTATTTGTAATTTCAAAGCATCATTTTCTAGACAATTGATGGTAAAATTGTTGGTGTGAACATTTACATGTTTTGTTGTTTATCTTCTATATCAAGTATCTATAGGATTGCATATTCATCTACAGGAATTTATGTAATATTGTCTTGTGGCATCAAAATTACTTCTTTTTCAGTTGTGGTCAACTATGTTAAAATTATAGTACATGTACATATAACTTATAACCGTATTAATAACTAAGTTCTGACCGACCATAGAAGTAAAATAACTTTTAAGACATTCTTATTCGGGAAATATGCAGTTATATTTCATGTATTGCCTTTGGTTCTCCTTTCATCACCTATATACGTATATAGAATAAGATGAGTTTATTTTGTTATGTCTTAATTGATTTTTTCCTTTTTGAATTGCTATTGAAGATTAGTTATTTACTTTTCTGATTGAACATTCTCTGAAGTTATTTATTCATCAGTTAGACTTTTCATGATAATTGTTTGTTGTTTTTTTCTTATTTGGTAATTAGATTGCAATACAAGCTATAAATTAAACATGTTGCCTAAGTAATTAGCATATTTATTTTTCTTAATTTAACCGAACATTGTATTGTTGGTTAAAGGAGTATTTGTCCTTTCTCTTTAAATACTGTATTTAACTTCGATCATCTTCAACCGCTACTCTGAAAAAGCAATATTGTATCTGCAAGAACTCGACTATTGTATATCGTACACTCCATTGATCAATGAAATAAAAATTCATTCTGTAGCTGGCGTCGGAGGAATTAATAGTATTCAAATAGCACAGAAAAAATAAACTTGTAGATACGCTGTCATTATTTGTCTTTTTACTTTACATTATCGGAAAACAGTTAAACTATACTATATTATGGATTAGCAGTTACTTGTCCCACTTTTTATTAGGCAAGTGCGTTGTTGTCTGTCATATATGTATGACGAAAGTTTACAAGCATGTTAAATTCAACTTTGGATATTAAATATAAATGGTGGTAAAGGAAGGATGTTAATATGTGGATAATACACCATAACAATAACTGTAAGTTATCTTCAATTACAGTCGTTTGTTAAAAAGAGTAACACGAGGGTAATAACAAGAATCGCATACATATCCCTTCAATAATTTCCCCCCCCCCCTAAAAATAGGTTAAGGAGATAAGCAGATAGAAATAATTTTCTTTTAAGATTTTGTCAAAACAAAACCTTCTTATTCAGTATACTGGTTTCAACATAAGCAAAGCATTCATTTTTATCTTAATTTTTCTATTTTCTCTTTTGCACAACTCTAACGTAACAGAAAATCTCTTGTTTTCGGGTTGAGCCTTAGAGTATGTATGTACCTCAGAGACATATATATATATAATAATAGAAATAATTTATCAAAAATGATATCGTGACATAATTGCTGGTGGACAAAAAAAATCATATGTGAGTTGACAACGAAAAACACTAATATGAACGTGTATTAATATGTCTAAAACACTGAGGTTTCTTTTACAATCTTCAAGTGCAATTATTTGCACAGTTGTTCAAATTGCAAGTGATTTCGTATGTTCAGCACATCCGATTAGTATATTGATCATAGAAATAAGAGACTAATTGGAATGCTGGCGGGCGGTTAAGGAATAATTTGTCTGTGTTTTATTTAGACTGTTTTGATCTTTTTGCATTTTATTCGATGTCGTTTGATATCAACTCCCATCTTTGACTTTTATAACCTCCAATGGCTACTATTTTGTTTTATAATATCATTGACATTTAGTATGTTTTTGGTTAGTATTTTGGCTTTCATTTGGCAAAACGTTTTTTGCACGTATTTGAGTAATTAAAAGAGAGACTGATCATTGTGGCAGCCGTAACTTCGCTTCGTTAAAAATATCACTTATTTAGCTTGATAAAAAAACAAATGACGTCATATTAAGGCTGTTGCGAAATTTTAAGTACTTTTAATGAAAATATGGACTTTTGTTCTTACATAATTTTAAAAGATATTTTACGAAGAGATTATTACGATAATCTAGACATAACACACTAGGACAACATCGTTAATACGTATAACGCTTTCTTGACAATGTGTTTTCGTAGTAAGCGTACAGAGTACAACAAACAAATCAAGAAAAATGATGGTTTGGTACAATACCAAGTTTGTATAAAAATCTTTAAATGAATAAAAATTTAAAAAATCATGAAAGGTTTACAAATATGTGAATCAACCTAATTTAATTCAAACATCAACATTCTATCAATAACCAAATTAGTTCAGGATCTGTGCCAAAACTATCAGCTTGACCATAATGTTTTGTTGTTTCTGTATAAAATGCTTTAACACAATACCGATCTTCAGTACGGTCAGTTTACCATTGAAGGTGTCGCAAAATTATAGTTTTTTTTGTATAACTTAATTTATAATGTTATTATAATTATGTTATTTCTAAAACATCCTACATGTACGCAACATTCTGGATATGACACTTGTGATAGTTCCACTAATATAACTATACTAACAATTGTTATATTGTTATTACTAATCTACTTGTCTGTTGTTTTTGTGCAGGCCGTATTACCATTTTTCTCAAAAGTGTGCAGCTTCAATTGTTGTAATTAGATGTATTTGTTATATCTATTTTACCGGGCCCAGTATAAACGACTGTTAGCTTAATAATATATTATCCGCCATTCATAAGCTTTAGAAACTATATGTAACATTAACAAGTGTAATAAAATATAGCTTCTATGATATATATATATATGAAAGATCACGTATTAATAACAGAAACGCAATCCGAGTGAAACCTCGAGCCAACAACATGTTTAAAGAAAAGTTCTGGCGTAAATTGAACATATACAATTACAATTAACCTCCTGAATAATTAAGCAGTTGTGCTCAGCTGTATTGCATATGTGATTAACAATATGAGGGATGCAAAATTGCAGCAATATCGATCACAAAGAGTATGAGGAAGTTAACATTGTACAATAAGCTGCTGGTTATATTTTTATAAGGTTCGGTTGCACTCTAGCAAAGAAAAATGTCATGTTGAGTGTGAACGAAGAGAACGTTATTCACTGATGTTAAATTTGGCTGTAATTATTGTGATAATAGTTTATGGAATTCAAACTTATTGGAAACAGTTGCATATTTTACAGTTGTAAGCAACACGCTATATATTTAAATTTCTCTGAAAACTGTGTGGTGTCTTGGTTACCAGACATTTATTAATTTGAAATGCGGTAATTTTTTTAAAGATATAGTAAATCATCCAGACATCGCTTCATTTTATTTGCCACCAAAATAAAGGATAAAATTTAAAGAAGACGTTGGTTTGAATAGAAAAACAAAAAAAAATCTTTAAGAAAATGGAGGATTTTTTTATGCTATTGAAAGGTATAACATTACATGTGCTTGAAGTTTACAAGTATTAAGATATATCTACAGAATGGGCAATGAATAGGACTTTATTTTAACATTGCATGATCTTAAAGTGTTTGACAGAAATATTTTTTACTGCAAATCAATGGAGGGTCAGTGAGCCCTTAAATTTGATTGGTGTTTGCAACTTCGATTATTCCAAGATCAGATAACTTTATACATAAGTCTGACAGTCCTTATACTTCTTTCTCTAAATTGTTTCAATTTTGTTTGCCTTTATCCTTGGTCATAATGCAAAAGTTCATAAAATCTTTTTAACACTTGTTTTCATTTTCTATTCTGTTAAAATAAAAATACTGTTGTTTTTGTTGTTTTGTCTTTAGCTCACCAGAATCAAAGGTTCAGGGTGAGCTATAAGTATCAAAGGGGGATACTCCGGCGTCCGTTGTCATGCGTCAACAATCATCTTCTTCTCTTTAACTTCTGGGCAGATTTACCTCAAATTTGGTCTGTAGCATCATTGTGACAGTCACACTTAAATTTGCTCGTCATTTCAATGGGCCCTTTTTAGGGGTCAACAGAGCTAAAAATAGAAAAGCCTTTAAACATCTTCTGCTACAGATGGATGATCACCAAACTTTGTCTGTAGCATTTTTGGGTAGTCTTTTATCAAGTTTGCTCATATTAATTTGATTGGCCCTTTTTAGGGGCCGCTAAAGCTAAATATAGAAATACCTTTAAAAGTCTCCTTCTACAGAACTAATTGATGGATGATCACTACATTTTGTCTGTAGCATTTAGGTAGTCTTTTTTTTGCAAGTTTGCTCATATTAATTTGATTTGCCCCTTTTAGGTGCCGCTAAAGCTAAAAATAGAAAAACCTTTGAACATTATTTCTTACAGAAATAATTGATAGATGATCACCAAACTTTGTCTGTAGCATTCTTAGGTAGTCATTTATCAAGTTTGCTTTTATTAATTTGTTGGGCCCGTTTAAGTTAAAGCTTAAATGCCCCAGGTCATGGCATTTCTTCAAATTATAGTTAAAAGATATTCTATGCCCCAATTTAATATTAGAAAATATTGACAATGGATAATTTCCAACACTAACAAGCAGTTGTTTCTTGTGAGCGAATCAGGACCATCATGGCCCTCTTGCTTTTTTTACGAAATTGAAATAAACTCAAGCTGGGTGTCACAATTACCAGTTAAAGAATTCGATAATCATATTCTAAGTCAATGCAAAGTTTATTTATCTGTAATAGAGTTTTCATTATTTTCATTTTATGTCACCTTAAAGTATACGGCCTAAAAATTTGCAAACACATTCTAGATCATGATTTTGTTAACATACATAAAATAGATTGTTGTATAAGAGAGTATAGAATGATATACTGTCTGAAATTTGTGAAAATATAGAAGCTGTACATAAACAGTCAATTTGTATCATATAAGAATTCAGTCTTGCTGGAAACCAAACCAAACCAATTAAAATCGAATTTCATTTAATTAAATTTTGTGACAGAAATACTGTGCAGCAATTATCAATATTTTCAAATATCAAAGTTGAGCATGGTATATCTATACAATGCAGTATTTGATACCTTATCTTAGTTATTTACCTGTTTGAAGTTCTCTATTCAATGGGTTGCAAATCAAATCACATTATATTGTTGTACACTTCACTCACATAATTTAATGTATTTTTTTACAAATAACAGTAGGTCGAGTGTTGTTGTTGTTGATGATGCTATATGGGTGCTATCAATAAAAAAAATGAATTTTACTATATTTATTACTATCCCGATGGTATAAAATTTGTTTATCGAATTTTTTACACTTACGCCCATAACAGAAGTATTGCTCAGATGTGTTATTCTATTCTACCATTTCTTACGTATATAAACTATAATTATTGTGTGTCAATGCATAACGCGATAGTCTTGATCATAATGATGTTATATTTGATGTATAAAGGTTTTTTCTATTTCATTTATGTTATAAAAGGCTATATGTTAATTGTAATATTTCCAGATATCTACATATAACAACAGCGCGTAGGCAGTATTATATATTTATCATTTTCACAACGACGGTTTAGTAACAGATGCTACAATATCTATGAATATTTTAACAGTTTTGCTGTCATGTGGTGGTTGCTTGTTATATAATGTCAAACATACAAAAAAACATCTGTAATTTTATCAAATAAAAATGTTTCAAGAGTATTATTGTATTACATTTCATATTACGTACACGTTATCAAAGCTGTTCATTTGAATAAATGATAAATAAATAAAAATGGTAAAATGATATACATAGCATTGTGTGTCACTCGGTACAAGTCCATTTCAACAGTTATCATTTATATTATTTTATTTTCATTTCAACTTTATTTACTTGAATATTTTACATACAAACACTAAAACTTAACAAATACTCTAATTAATGTGTGTATAGAATAAAAATCTGGAGTGAGTTCTGAGAAGTATATTTTTTACATTCAGTAGAGAAACATAGGGTCATGTTCATCTTTGTTCTTATTTTTAGTAACATTTTTTTTCTTCGTAATAAACCCTGCTAGTTACCTGTGGCTGGCAAAGTTGAAAAATGTGCCGCGCCTTCAAACGATATTTGCCAAGTCTATATCTACAAGTTTACTATTTTGT